GAGCCGCCAACGCGGTCGACGTTCGGCGTCGCCTTTCACCCTCGCGCCCTCCATCGCCCAACGCCGAGCGCGAGCCGCCAACGCGGTCGCGTTCGGCGTCGCCTCCCACCCTCGCACCCTCCATCGCCCAACGCCGAACGCGAGCCGCCAACGCGGTTGCACTCGGGTTCGCCTCCCTCCATCACGCCACCTCCGCCCAGCGTGAGCCGCTAACGGCGGTCGCGCCCCTCCCGCTACTTGCCCATCGCCTACCGCCCCTCGCTCAGTGCCAGCACCCTCCCCCACTCCCCCTATGTCTATGGGCGGCATGTCTACGCTGCTTACGTAATCACCATTCACTAATAGTACTCGATACAATTTTGTCACTTATATAAAATATGATGAAAAATAATAATTCTTTACTAGAATTTGGAAGATTATCAGTGATATATAATAAATAAATAAAAGTAATTTTATTCAGATGACTATAATATCTATCAAGCATATGATTGCTGTAGAGTTTACATAGGATATATAGTTTCAGTAACACTAGTGTGTGAGCTATATAGCACTAAGGTATGCCCTACATAGCTACTGTAGCCATGACAGTACCCTCTATAGCACCTATAGCACTATGATAGCATTGGCTGGCAGATTTCTAGCATGGGTAGCAAAGGACATCGCTATGGACCTATGGAGGCTATATTGCACTACACAGTGCCATATAGTGATCTAGATTTTTTCAGATGAAAGAGATTGTTGATGACAACTCTCAACTGAATGCCATCCAGGAGGTAAGTATATGATCACCCTATTGACTGGATTGAACTGACGGTGTCCGCAGTAGCATATGCTGGCGCAATGCATTCGCTTTTTCTTCGTTAAGCCTCAGCAGATGTTGATGGGTGCCATCAAGAGTGTGCAAAATAGCCTCACCACCTGAAATATCCAACCTCGTATCCCAGCCTATGCAACTGATCCATACGTCAAGACCGTTGTCGATAAGTGGCTTGTCAATAAAGCCACAGAAATAAAAAGTCACATGCAAAAAAAGGTGATCCGATGACCCGATACATGTTTCTTGCATGCGGTTACTGATTACTCAAAATGAGATCTTTGGACAAGTGATAGCCACAACACCCATTGAAGAATTTACTGCCGAATTCGTGAAGAATTGGTGGCAAGGACCTTTACCGGCATCATTTCCGACCGACACTATGGCAGTGCTAGCTCTAATGGTGAGTCAGCTAATGCTTCAGCTCGATGTTGCTCATTATCTGGCCATGCAGACCATGATCGTGGAGCCATTGGTGCAGTCATCGACCACCAATGGAAAAGGCAAAACTTTGAGGTCTTGCAAAATGCACCGAGCAGCTGCACTTGCTGAGGAAGCTGAAGAGCCCAGCCCATTGGCGGCTCTGCCCCCCGACACATCAATGGATATCAAAGGATCGTTCATGAACACAGAACCTGCGGCAACTGAAAACAATGCCGAAGCTTGAATTCGTGGCGGGACGACAGGCTTTTGGGATAAATTGGAAGCTGAACTAGACGGCATCTACAAGAGGTTAGGTTGCTGGTACGTTATCACCAAGTCACAAGTCGCAAGCACCGACGGCCTGGGACTTGTTGAGCAGACCATGAAGACCCTTAGGCCACCCTGGGCTGAGTGAGTACGGCATTCATTAAGCTCAGTATACAATTCTGATAAGACCATGCTGTAGGTGAGACAGACAAATGGTACAACACGACAAGGCCAAATACCCAAAGGCAACTGCCCACTTCAACTTCGTTTCGTCTGAGGAGATCAACTCAGTGTTGATGGCCATGCAGTTGACGCCGAACGTGCCGGCGACGAACACCACGCAGACCATGAACACCTCACAGACCACGGACACCTTGCAGACCGTGAACACCTCACAAACAGAGAACACCTTGTAAACAGAGAACACCCTGCAGATGATCAATGCCCCACAGACAATCAACACCCCGCAGACAACGAACACCTCGTAGACCTCGAATGCCCCGCCAATGATGAGGCCGTTGATCACGAGGCAGGTGACAATGGCCACATCGTCGATGAACATCTCGCCGTCTGCGTTGAGCTCGCAGTTTACACCCTTGTAGATTGTGGTGCAGTCCACGATCCCTGCTCAACAATAGGATATCGTAGACTAGAGGTGTATACATGTATCAACGAAAATATGATCTCCCTTACTGATGTATTATGAACCAAGAGCCCATCGTTCGCATGACCTACCTGCCGATATTGAGGATAACATTGGTATTTTGTATGGTGGGAACTATTTACCATCTATGGATGGACATGTCCATATCTGGCGGTGATTCCAGTGCCCCTGGATCCCACCGGATGCACCAGCACGCATCCAGTGGTTGGCAGGGGCGGTGGAATCCTGTGTCAAGGTCAGTGGAATCTGGCAGCCAACTCGTTCGCTGGTTTCCACCATTCGCTTGGTAGCAAGACATGGCAAAGTCACATCATAGCATAGCATTACATAAGCATACTTACTTTACAGTATGGCACGCTCATACAAATTTCCCGCAATATGACCCTCCACTAATTTGTGGACAGCCACCAACCCAGTCACGTGCGTGTTGACTTTGCACCTTTGTCGTGCGACGACATGAGGTTCAGCAGAGGTATCAATTAGAATACAGAATACATGCCCGTCTGTATACGAGACCCTCTAATTTAAATACATGGTGTTTGGGGTTGTGTCAGTCCAGGTACGACGAGGTTTTTTGGCGTGTAAGTCTCTATATATTTCTCCACCAACTTCATGGATGTGCTCGAAGACATCCCGAATGTGCTTTGCCTGCTTCAGATGAAGGGTACCCTTTCTGATGACCTCTTTGATTGCATCGAGGTCTCGCTCAACAGCTACGAGCTTGGCTGGAGTGATACATACCTATTTCAGACTTGAGAAATGCATCCGCGGCAAGTAGGCACGTGTAACTCACTTCATTAGGTTCCAGTAATTTGCTCCTGCAGTCCTGAGAGTCCCGTTCAACACGCGGCCGCTCTTCGTCGCTTTGCTCCCACCTATCTGGCAACCTCTCTGTATGGTCTGCAAGGATCCTCTCTTCACCCTCCGTTGTCTCTCTGGCACTGCTGGTAGTCTGAATTGCACAGACCGGTGGTTCCTCTTGAATGCATTGCAAGATCTTCCGCTGTATCGGTGCGGGTTGTTCAATGGCTGCGGGCAGCGAGCTGGTTTCAGCATGAATGGCCGGGAGTCAATAGAACAGGACCAATCATTCACAATGCAGTGCTGTGAAAAAGTGATGATCCGTTCTGTAGTCGAACTTGAGGTGTGCATTTGCAGTGTGAACCAAATGCTTGCACAACAGAAAATGGCTGATGAGATAGTGTGGGCAGCTACAGGTCCACGTCTTCAGGCTGGTGTGGTAGGAGCCTGGCTCTCTCTTCGCATTTTCCCAGATCTGTGTAAGCTGTTCCGTGCATCCTTTCGTCTTCTTTGGTTTATACAGCCATTCTAACTCTTTCTTGATAGATCGCTGCTCATCCAGTTATGAGAGGTTGAGCCAGCTGGTCCGGAAGTCCTTTTGCCACTCCGTGATTGCATTGCCGCGGCCTGGGCAAAATCCTGAGAGGATGATGCGGATCTGATTCCGTACATGAGGAAGTGTCTTTGTCAAAATGATGTATGTAACGAGGTCTAGTCCCAGCCGATTAAAGTTTGACAGGTCACAATGCTTCAGAACCCGCCATAGGCTCTCAACAACCATCGTCAATTTCAACACGGGTATCTCAAGTGAGACTGACCGCGCCCAGAGCTTCCACTGCTCTGGGCAGTACCACCGATTCCACATATACTCCCAGACCTGTGACAAGCCGTACTTCACGCAGAAGTGGTACATGTTGGAGACCGCACCTTCGTGGATTTCACTAGGCTCAAGGCAAGTTCCTTTGACATCATTGAATGGAATGGACGGGTGCTGATGGAGGTGTAGGTGCATCTTCTCAATGATCGTGGTCCTGTGCTCAATGGGGCAGAAGGTTGACAGCTCCTTGGCTGTCAGCTTTGGAGGTTCAGGCCAGACAGGTATACACCGAGTGCCTGCTTTAATAATAACAAGAGGAGGTAATGTCGTTGCCAGCTCCCTCTAATTTGTTTTGTCAGTCTACTGGCGAGTTGCTGATGGTTATCAGGTTCTTACCTGGCGATTTGCAATCAGGCTTGCACGCACACCACCGTTGTAGTTCCCAGACATTTCAAAATCCAACCATCAAGATATTCACCAACGTCTCCTCGCAAAACCACGTCGGGTTGATAAACGGGAAGATACCATGCACCTTACGGGGATCATATGCAGCTGATGGTTTGTTTTCCGCCAACCGTTCTTTGACATATTTAATGATATTCCAATAGCAGATTGAGTGCCGTGCTGATGGGAAGACTACCTGGCAGGCACCAATCTCTGAAGGGTCCTTGTCAGAGATCGTAAACCGGATAGACATCAAGTGCCGCCGGAGGAAGATAAGAACTTGCATGAGGATTCTTTGTTTTGCGCTGCCTTTGGATTCACTTACACCCCTTGTGAATAGAAAGGTGAGCGGTAGCGACTGTCCGTTTGCCTCTGCAACAAATGCAAAAAGTTTGTATCCAGCTGCATTCATCTTGACTAGCAGAACCTGTAAGTGCGTGCATACCGAACATGGAATATACTCACACATTGAGTCAACGCACAGCTCAACTGCCTTTGCACCCCACATGCGAAGAGAGTCTTTAAAGGCATAGGCAAATGATGACCGGCCCTCCTCCTCTGATATAGGGATTATCTCAACGGTACCTCCATCAGCTTGCTTCAGAAGCATCTGAGCTGATGTTACTTCATCATGATTCAACCGCCAGACTCTCTCATTTAGCTTGGACCACCGTGCATAGACTTGGTGCTCGGTAATCCAGTTTTTGTCTGTGAGCTTGCCAGTCTTGTATTTCTTCAATATTACATCCCAAATCTGCCAAAATAGGTACATTACTCACTCTCTCGTTGTTGTCATGTTGAGAACTTATTGCGCTCGGTGTTAGCTCCCGATTATTCTCGATTAATGCAATAACATCTTTGGGAATGGATATATCGGTGACACGTTCATGAGCAAGATCATGGCACATCTGGATATAAACTAGACCCGGCACATTGTCGATGAAGGTAAAATGTAGCCAGCTGTTACATTGGAAGCACACCATTGTACATCGTGCCTGGCGTTTGGTTGGATCCTCGTGGTGACTGCTCTTCATCTGCTGTCCTTCAAGCTGCTGACAATAGTATGAGACAATAACTCCGTTGCGGACCTTCTTGATCACCTTCTGGCTGAGCTCAAGCAGGTGAGTCATGTCATCGTATTGACCACTTGACAACTCACTTCCAGTTATACCCTGTAGCTTTTGCAAGATGCCTCCGCAAGGCATTTGCACGTGAATGTATAGGTGCTGGTCCATCCAACATACTGTCAAAGATATCCTTGTGGCATATACTGATATATGTATTCAGCTTGAAGGCACCGTCGCGGTGCTGCTCAAGCAATCGGGTGCAGTCAGCTAGAGACAGGATTGATGGTTAGGCTTTTGGAATGTCTGATTGTATGGTAGGGTTCATGTTCTCCTTGTCTGATCTCTTGCTACTGTACTTTTACAACTGTAAGTTTGGCCAGGTCAGAGGGGACAGGGGACACCCCCCAAGTTCGGGGCTGTGGGAAGTTCATCCGCAGCCTGCCTGGGGGACACATGCCCACGAGGTCAGATTTCTTTATCACACGGTCAGATTCAGGACTCTCACGGTCAGAGATAATGTGTCCCGGAGGTTCAGGGTGCCAGGGGACAGTAGGTTCAGTTCGGGTGCCCCGGGAACGTGGGACGAACTTACAGTCATAAAAGTACAGTAATCTTGCTCTTCTGGTTTCTTTCCATGCACGTTGAGCATGTCTTCGAGTAACCACTGCTGCAGACACACAAGGGGAATAACTCTTGTGGGCCGTCAAACACACTGGTTGCACTTGGGCATGATTTCAAGATGGAGACAATAAATACGGCTTGCAGGCAGCCCCAGGAGTGTATATACAGCAGAGTATTACCTCAGCTTGCTCAGGTATCTTGGATGCCGGTAATTAGTAAGCATCAGCAACCGTGGCGGTGCTAAGTTTGTGGCGATGCACTTTTACCGTGTCAAACTCTTTTTTTAAGAATGTGATCTACTCGTGCAATGGCAATGCAAGCGAAGGTGAAGGCGTGGGGCACCCACCTTTTTTCCAGTAGTGGGATACGACGGCATATGTCCCCCACGACGCAGGCTCCTAATACCATCCGCTCATACCATGTCTCGCTCCTCAATCCTATGGGCGTGGGCGAGGCTGCATCCTAGAGGGATGGGAGTTAGTATCCATATTGAGACATGTATTATGTCAGATCCAAATCGGGAATAGGGACCTTCCTTTTATATCGGCGTAAGTGAGGAGCGGACACAGTAGAGCGGCTGGCCAAACTCGACATTTCAAATTGCGGCAAGAGCTCAGCAGCCCTGGTTACCACCCAATGTAGGGTCTCAGCTAACATTGACCTTCTTGCTCGTCTCAGAGTTTTAGTTTCGTGATGGATATATTATGCTAGGTATGCACCTGCTCTTCTGGGAAGAATAATGCAGCAAGTGTATCCCAGGTTGTAACTACGAAATGTATTGTCCTCTGATAGAGCTGTAGAGCTGTTGATCTTCATGAGTGGATGAACAGATGACTGCCAGGGGGGTGAAAAAAAGGAGCTGAAAGTCCCCGCCTTGGGATCGAACGTGCGACCCCGGCAAAAAAGCTCCTCATGGACTAACACATGTTAACACCTAAACCACCGGTCCGTAGCAAAGACCAGTATCCCTATCAATATAACCTTGTTTTCTGGCGGGAGGGCATGTCAATGCTCGCATTTGGATGGCTCAGGTCCTGCATCCACACCGGTGCATACAGTTCAGTCTAAAATGTGCTGTAACTGCTTGTCACTTCTCCAGTAGCAACTGATAAAGGTAAGCGGAGAGGCGTCGCCTTGGGCTCGAACACGCGACCTTCCCACGTGCGCAAAAACATATGACGATGTGCTAACCACTTCACCAGCGACCTGTGCTAACATCTCCACACATGTTATATATAAAGTTGCTTTGGGGCATACTGCCACTGTCCACTACCGACAATGCCTCACGAAGCCACCTGGGCACGAAGCAACTGACCTGTCATGTTGATATAACATGCGGGTGAGGGTGATGGTATTGCAGCAGAGCACTCGTCACTAAGTGTGGCTTCGCCTGCCTCTTGCAGAGCTGGACAATGTGTGGTAATGAAAACCCTAGGTCGAGGGTTATCAGGAAACTGAGGTGTGCCAAGAGGTGCCGCAATCTGAAATGTCAAGTTTGGCCAGCCGCTCTACCGTGTCCGCTCCTCACTTACGCCGATATAAAAGGAAGGTCCCTATTCCCGATTTGGATCTGACATAATACATGTCTCAATATGGATACTAACTCCCATCCCTCTAGGATGCAGCCTCACCCACGCCCATAGGATTGAGGAACGAGACACGGTACGAGCGGATGGTATTAGGAGCCTGCCCGCGACGACCATGTCTCGTTCAGCAGACGCGTCTGAGCCAGTCACGTGATAGTCAGTGGTGGCTGTCCTCTAATTAGTGGAGGGTCTTATTGGTCAAAACCTCATACGACGTTCGTATCTTGCACATCACCGGTGACCGCGTTTTGCTGCTTCAATGACAGCTCTGGACTTCGATTCGAAGGGATGCACCTACAACCCGCAATCAAAGCCGCCCAGCTTCGGCCATGACATGCTGAAATACTTTAGCTTTCGCGATGGATACGTGAATTTAAATCATGGTAGGTTCTGTGGTCGTGAATATTGAGAGACGTGGTACTTAGCCTGGTTACAGGATCATACGGCTCACTTCCTCGGCCCGTCCAGACAGCATGCGAGGACATGGCACAACAGATCGAAGCATGCCCAGACAAATTCATGCGGCTGACCTACCAATCCCTCTTGATTGATTCAAGATCAAGAGTTGCACGTTTGTTGGGGGCACATACAGATGAATGTGTTCTGGTCCCGAATGCGACACATGGTATCAATACAGTACTGCGGAATATCCAGTGGAATGACGGCGACATTTTGATTGGAGGTATGTTGACTTGCGATTGAGCTATCGATCACCCATGGTTCACGTTCTTTAGCTTCGACGACCTATGTCAACGTCAATCATACCCTGCAGTACCTCCATGACGTGCACCCCACTACAACTCTTGCGCCTTTCCACATCCGCTTTCCTACCAGTCACTCCGCCATCGTGGAGAGCTTTCGCGAGCATCTGCGAATTGTGAAGGCCACGCTACCGGGACTGCAGAAATCGTCGGCTTCTGTTGCTCCGAAGATGGTTGCCGTCATTGATAGCATCGTTTCTAACCCCGGTGTTCGTCTCCCCTGGCAGGAGATGGTTAGCCTGTGCCGCGAGGAAGGCGTCTGGTCAGTTGTAGATGCTGCTCATTCCATTGGCCAAGAGCCCGATATCAACTTGAGCGAATCGCGGCCTGATTTCTTTGTGACGAATTGTCACAAGTGGTTATTCGCGAAGCGAGGTTGCGCTTGCCTCTATGTCCCTTTTCGGTATGATGTGTGCTGCCCAACCTATTGCGATAGCTGACAAAACTCTAATTTCATTTGCTGGGCTGCAGAAATCAACACATTACCAGGTCGTCTATCCCGACAGGCAATGCCTACCAGACATCGCCGCCCAATTTCGTGAAACAACATGAATGTTTGTCCTCGCGACTAGAATTATCTATCCGTGCTCATAAGATGCAGGGACTGGTACCGTTGATTGGGTACCATACTTGAGCATTAAAGCTGCGCTTGAATTCAGACAGTGGATTGGTGGCGAGGCCGCGATTTTGGAATACTGCCACAAGCTCGCGTTGAAGGGCGGAAGGCGCCTTGCAGAGATAATGGGCACCGAACTGATGGATCAAACCCCGGACAGCGAGTTAACGCTCAGCATGGTGAATAATTCCGCTTTCGCGAATAGCTCCAGGTCACTGAGAAAATGTACAAGGTGAACGTCAGACTTCCTTTCCCCGACGAGCTGCTGTCGCTCGGCGATATGAATGCGAAACTACTCGACGAATACAACACCTTCGCCGGGGTGTTTCGTCACGATGGAAAGTGGTGGACACGATGCAGCGCGCAGGTTTGGAACGAGGTCAGTACACGCCATCCCGGGTTCGTCACTGGCACTAAGATCTTCTCCAGATCTCCGACTTCGAGTATTTAGGGAAGGTGTTCAATACGATCGCAAAGGAATTGTCGTCAATCCACACTTAGATTGCATCTGATTTAATGCACAACTTCGCCTGCGTCCAAGCTGTATATTATACATCCGTCCCAAACGTCACCGACAGTTCATACGTGCCATTACCGCCGCACGTTTTACCGGGTGACCATGGTACGCCCACTGTGTGCAACATTATGAGTCCATAGACATCTCGAAGTAAGCAGGACGCACCTTGCAGTTTTGCGCTCGCCTACCGCCACCTCAGTCTTTGCACGATTGAGCACCTTCTGGAACTCTGAGACGCGGTACCGCATGCGAGAATGCATGTAAGCCTTGGAGCACTTGATGTGATAGTGAAGATAATCTCGGAAGAGCTGAATGTGGCTGATGGTTCCAGCCGAGACTACTGTGTTTGCGAAGTGGCGGGGAAAGAGTACGAAGGTGACATAACCAACATTCTCGGATCTAATCAAACCTGGAACATGCCGGATTTCCAGCGGAGGGTCGCGATTAGAATACAGGACTTGAGGGGCGTTTTGGATGGTAGGAAGTCGACGCGCGTCAACGAACTCCTGAAGCACATAATGAGACGCTGTGAACCGCTTGTGATTCATGAACTCGCCTGTAGGAAAACCTTGCCGATGATGCGATCGGTTTCTTCACGGAAAACGGTCGAAAATATGACAGTGACACGATCATGGGAGGCCTGAATGTAGATTGCCTCCTCATCGCGATAGTGAATAGCCATGAGGTCACCCTGCCCTGAGCCTGATGCCTCCAACCGCTTCTGAGCTTGGAAGGCTCGTTCGAACGGAGCTGCCAGAGCGTTACGCTTCAGCAAAGATAGGGACTTGATCAAGGCCTCGCGAGACTCTGTATGGATTCTTAAGAGACTCATGGCCAGAGTTCACGCAGCGGTACGGGCGCACCTCCGTCCGGTGGCAACTGTTCCAAGTCAATCTCCAGCGACACGTTATAATCCGGCTCCGGTTCCGATTTGAGCAAAGCGCCGTATTCACGCCCAAGAATGTCCAAAGCCCCAAATTGTACAAGTTCGTCCCAACAGCGGATGTTCATCGACAGAAGGATGATAGACTTCTTGTCCGGGGTCGACAGGCGGAAGCGCACACCGTCGAAATCTACGAATTGAACATCGAGAGACGAAGGCCTGATACGAGGTCATTCTCATAATCCCCTGATCGAAATGGGAGTGTATACTTTGCCGCCTTATCCTGCAGGGTCTGCTGAATGATTACGTTGTGTGGTTCAAGGAGGATCATCGCAGCGGAAGTCTGAGTCTGAGCTCGGCACAGCGCCCCTTGTCTCTCTCCCGATCACATCACACTCAATTTTGTGCAATACCCGACTGTCCGCCAGCCTCTCATAAAAACATCGTTCAACATGGGTAAGTCGTTTGCTAATGTATCGAGCTGCCTCCCATCATGGTCTACAGCACCCAAGAAAACTGGAAAGCAGAAAATGTCGCTCAACGAGTTCCTGGGTGATAACGGTATGCACCCATCGGCCGCTACACTCCCATCATCAATGCTCATGCCTCTCATGACAAGCACTGGGGTCGTGGGCCGACGAGATGGATTCCCTCCCGACCGCCCGTACGTCAACCAACCCGTCAACGTCGATAGTCGCTCACCTCTGTCACAGCCGCTGCACGCGAGGACGATGGGTATTCCGGAGACAGACGAGGACGTGATGATTTTCTTTCATCAAGGCGTTCGTCACATCGCTATGAACCGCCGGCACTGTGCTAAAATGATGATAGCTGACAGAGGCTTCGGTGGCCCTCCTCGGGAAGATCTACCCTTACCTTCGCAGCCCCCGTACACAGCATTCGTTGGAAATCTGGCTTTTGACCTGCAAGAAATAGAGCTGGAAGGTTTTTTTGCCCCATCCAAGGTCCGCATCGCCGTCCGCGACGCCTCTTTCTGAAGATCCTCACCAATGCGTTAGACCAAATCTGTGAAAATCATCAAAGACAGAGACGACAGACCAAAAGGATTCGGATATATAGAGTTTGAGACTCTCGATGGTTTGAAGGATGGAATTTCTCGTTCGGGCACTGTGAGTTCTACGTTTGAAGCGCCTTCTACCGCTCATGTCAGTATCAGAATCTGAATGGGCGCACGGTGCGCGTAAGCGTCGCTGAACCCCGTACGCCCTTCTCAACATACCACTTTTCACACGTTAACCACATTTCTCCAGCCAAGGAACGAGGTTTCGGTAGTGGCGGATTCGACGACGAGAAGTTCGCGAGCCCATGGAGGCGGGATGGGCCTTTACCAGACCTCCCGAACTCACGCGAATCGTCTCGTCGTCCCTCACGCTTCGATGCGGAACGTGTTCAAGCGAGTGCCTCCGATGGCATCAACGACTGGCGCTCCTCGCCACGTGGCCCTCCTCCACCTCTTCCCGGCGACGATCGTGAGGCCCCCTCGTTCAGAAGAAAGGCCTCGGGCTTGCGGAATGATACTCCTGCTGGCCCTGCGGACGTGGAAGATACTTGGGCGAAAGGATCGAAGTTCAAGCCTTCGGAAGAGCCCCCGTCTCGGTTTGGCAGCATGCGGGGCCGAGGAGACATGGGACCGCCTCCTTCGTCTGAGGCAGAAGGCGATTGGAGGAGTGCTGCGCGGCCTCGCCCTGCTGGTCGAGATAGCACTTCGCGTGAGCTATTTCACGAGGCCTGATTTGTGCAAAATTGACCTTTGCTTTCATGACAGCGAGCAGTTCGGTCCCTCCGACCCCAAACATGGGTCGCCGTCGCCTCGAGCTTTTACCGAGGTCCAACGCTGCTTCGGCTTCTCCGACCCCGCTCTCCTCGCCCAAAATGGCTTCAGCCCAGGCTACATCAGCCCCTCGGTCCAATCCGTTCGGGGATGCCAGGTACCGTCACCCGTACCGGATCGTATTGCGCTCAATTGACCCTTGTGCACCAGACCAGTGGATGTTTCGAATCGCGAAGCGGCTATCACAGAACGGCTCGAGAAAGAGCGCGAGGCTATCAAGGATAAAGCTACTTTCCCAATGGGGCGGACCACCTCCCAGCAGCGTTCCTCGCGGGAAGGCCATTCCATGTCTCGCAGCTCTTCCCATGCAGGTGAAGCGCGCTCGCCCGGTGCATCCATTCCCTCCACTCCAAGCTCCAGGACCTTCAACGCCTCGGCCGCAGGCGTTCGGCCTGCTATATCCTTCGCCAGAGCTGCAGGCAACAAAAACGTGGACGCTGCGCCCGACGAGGCAGCCAAGGGAACGGCCGAGGTTGAAGCCGAAGTTAACGAAGTAGCTAATCAACTTGGCGAAACGACGATCTAAGAAAGCTGGGCAAAACCGTGGTATTGACGCCCATGTATCTTATGCTTATGCACTTTGATATTGAAATATGCAACAACCTCTCCTGAATCTTGTGCGGAGTTTGGAATCTTCTGGTCACTATTCCATCACCGCTCATCGGCACCCCTCCGTAGCTCTGGGTCGACGTACTTCATACGACCACGCCCTATAAATGACCGTTCAGGAAGGCGGCAGCGTTGAGAATCTCGCACTTACCCTTGAAGCGTACTCCATTCCTTGTGTTTTGCTCCTCGTACTGTTCGCGTATTCTTTCAAGTTCCCTTCTTCGGGCAGCCTCTAGACGCTCCTTCTCCTCCCTTTCCAGTCTCGCGTCGTACTCTTCTTCGGTTTCTTGAGGAGGGGCGTGGTCTAAGGTATCGGTCGATTGCGCTGCATGATCATCTTTGGAGGGCGGGGTTGAAACTGATCGTTTCCTGTGCTTGCGCCGCTTGGACTTCTTCTTGCGGAGAGAGTCCGGGGAACGGGAACGGGAGTCGTGGCGTCGATGTTTCCTGAGTGCCTCTTCGTCAGATTCCTTTCGTGATTCGGCCTTGGGTGCGACTTCGTCTGAGTAAATGGGAAGTACATGAGCTGTCTGGCAATGCGGAATTATTAGAGCAACCGGCCTTTCGAGGCTGTGGACTTTCTGCGCAACTCGAGCTCCCCGCAATTCACGACGACGACAGGTGTAAGAGGCCGATCCTTCTCATCGGTCGGCAGCTCCGCAATCTTCTGAACTACTTCATACCCACGGATAACCTTGCCGAACACGACATGTTTGCCTGGAAACCGCGTTAGCAATGAGTTTCATTGATGGTAGAATGGGAAGACCATTCAGATGAGGACATGGCCGCAGGGTTATGAAGAACTGGGAATTGTTCGTATTCGGTCCTTTATTAGCCATGCATAAGAGGCTGTATACGTGAGTACAATGGAGACTACAAGAATCCGCGTATGATCGACGTACCCTTCGGAGTCCAACGGTAAGGATAGGTCTTCGTCCGGGAAAGGTCCACCATATATACTCTCGCCTCCTGTGCCATTCCTAAAGCAGGTTAGGAGGATATCAAGATTTGGAGTGTCAGGACATGCCGCTTTGTAAAGTCTATATCGAGGTCAGGATCATTCCCTGTTCCCGTTGAGTTCACAACCCACCTCCTCCTTGAATCATGAAATCCTTTATTGAACGATGTATGATAGAGTTCTTGTAGTATAAGGGACGTTCTGATATCGGCGAGACGCCTTGTTCACCCGTACATAGCACCCGAAAGCTGAGGAAGCACATCAATGTAGGTTAACGTCCAACGACCGTAGCGAACCGCACGCACTTTTCGCTGGTCTTGGGAGCCGAGTCCGAGTACAACTCGAATATCACTCGGCCGAGGACCTCATTTCCGTGCGCAATGTCAAAATACGTGCGGGGACGCACCATGGCACTGGCAGTGGGGTGTGCAAAGGAGCGGACCAGTCACGCGCGAAAACGCGTCAAAGGTGCCGACCGCGACCACGTATAGTTGATATTGGGCGCTCGCGTATTTGCGGTCTCATGAGAGCGTCAGCCGCCGGCTCTTGCAGCTCCCACAGCCAGCGCCCCCGGCGACATTCCCCTCGACGGCCGGGCCCATATGCGCGACTTCAACGTGGTGGTACTCGGAGGTACGACTCTGTTCGTCGCGTGTCGCGCTTCGCGACTGACCACAAGACCGCGTTCCTCAGCTGGGGGAGTTGGCAAGTCGGCTCTGACAGCCCGGTGCGCGACTTTTCCTGACTTTCGTGCATCCTGTCGTGTGCTTACACGCTTTTCTGCGTAGATTCATCCGCGACGTCTTCATCGAAAATTATGATCCTACCATCGAGGGTACGTGCGGTTCCCCGTGTGGGCAACATACCCAGTAGCGCTAACTTGCACACAGAGGAGTACAGGCGTACGTTACAGGTTGATGGTACTCTGACATCCGTGAGCATCTTTCCATTCCGCGCATGGACGACCTCACGTATGCCTCCCAGCTCGAGGTGTTAGATACCGCTGGGGCAGATCAGTTCAATGCGATCAATGAAATGTACATCAAGAACGGCCGTGGCTTTCTTCTGGTGTTCAGGTCCGTTCTTACCGTTTCTCTTGGCATTGTCGATTCCATGGTGCTCTTCAGCTTGACGCAAGAAGCCAGCCTACGCGAAGTCGAGATGCTGCGGCAGCAAATATACCGCGTCAAAGGTGGCTCGGCGGTGAGTTGGACGAATCAGTTGCTTCGACGCCTACGGTTCTAATGACAAATGCTGGTCGCAGAAAGTCCCAATCGTTGTCGTCGGTACAAAGCTGGACCTCGTGAACGAGCGCGAAGTTCCACGATCGACAATCCAGGAGCTGGCCGCGCGATGGGGCTTACCTTTCTACGAGACATCGGCCAAACGCAATTGGCAAATATCGACTCCCTTCGAAGATCTGGTGCGTCAAATGCTATCCAGATATCCAGTGGAGTCCGTCCGACGCAAGAAAGGATCAAGAGGCTCTTGCGTGGTGATGTAGAATCTCTGGACGATCTCGATTGCGCCGTGGATCGTCGTTCCTTTTTCTTGATCATGCCACGTTTTCTGACGAGCTTTGACGACCTGTTCATCTGCTTATTATATTCATAGTGTTAATGGTTCTTGCTACACGCTAGCCATCTAGGCAAGAGTGCATAGACATGTACGTAGATATTTTCGTTGCTGGCTGATATATGCCCGCCAAATGTTGCTATACAGCGTTCCACTGAAGGCCGTAATAGTTGTTAGAACTGAGGGGACGAACCTAAGGTCGTAAAACTACAGTATATACTTTGCCGTTTCTGCTTTCCTGTCGCATGTGAGTGGCGGTGTCGTTCATGCCGCCTGCAAGACCGCGGCAATAGAGCTGATTTGCAGCGAGTAAATATTGAGATCGCAATGTTTTTTGGCGCTCCAGACATCTTGGCGTTCGCGACATGCTGAATTGTCGCTAGCTGCGGGCGGCGTCTTCATATATTGAATAGTGTCATGCTCGACATCATCGGTGGAGCTTCACCACCTCAGTACTGTCTATAAACTGCGAGCGGACTCCTCGTCGTGCTCAGATGACCCCCCATGGATTTGTTTAACTTCGATGGTTTGCCCAAGTCGCCTCGGTGTCTAGTCGATGACCCTCTCCCTTACACCGCCACTTCTGACTCCTTGCTTGAACCGTCTCTCGCTGGCAACAACTTCGCAGACTCTGCTGGTCACGGAGATTCGTGTGCAGTAGGCCATGGACTCAGGGGGTCTGATGCGCTTGACGTGGTACGTGATGATCTGCACCGTGAGGCTTA